CCTAAAATTTGTAACATTTTTAAAATAAATGGTCAACGTCTAAAACCATTTTTAGAATTTTCTACGCTCGAAGAGGAGGAGGTGTTGGTTCTTCATAAACCTCATTATCTGTAAAAAAACAATAAATTTTTTTTTCTCTCTTATTTGATTTCTTCATCCTCATACTAACAGTAATTGCAGATCCTTATCATCATTGTTGACCGAATAAATGTAAGTTCTTCAATTCTTATCTGCTTTACTTTGTGCATCAGCGAATTTGCATTGAGGACAATGTAAAATTTAGGTGTGGGGGTGGGAAGTACATATTTTCCTCTTTATTTTATCATTTTGTTGCTTTTTTGACATAGTTTAAAATATATATATATATAAAAATATTGTCACATGCCAATTTATAGAGTTAAGTAATAATTGATCTAATTGATAGATTTTAAATCTTCTAATTCTTAGTTAGTGATATACTCAAGTTCACCTTTTATGATAACTCCAAATAAAATTCTTAAGAAACAATTTTTCAACTAGTATACTTTACTTAAGTCTTACCTTAAACTTTTAATTAAAATAATGAAATTTTTGCATGCTTAACTTAGAGTTGAAAATATTTTTTACAAGTTATCTTGATTTACACATTTTTTTCAGACTATATATACTTACACACATATATATATTAAAAAATAACCTTATAAAAGAAGAGTACGAAAAATGGGCAACAAAAAGAAAAAAAAACTCTTAAATTCAAGGTGATTCTATCTTATAAAGTCTAAGTTGACCGAGTAATTAAGCCCAAGGAGTATTTCTATACTTAATGATTTAAGCCCAATTGGGTTGGGATTCATTGGCCCAAAACTCGTTAAATGGTCACTTAGAAAACCCGTTAAAATAGAAAATAATCACCAAGAATTAGAGAGTAAAGAAAAAAATTATATACATATATATCTATAACACTAACCATTTTTTTATATATATTGTTGTTTTGTATATATGGTCTTGAAAAACAATTTTTAATCAAGAGACTTGAAAGTTATTTAAAACAAAGAGTTAGCATGTTCTTTTCAAAACTTTTAAATTAAATCTCTATGATTTGACTTGGTTCTGTATTCCTATAATGAAAAAGATTTTCTAAGAAATTTACATTAGAGTTATATATAAAAACGTTTTCTTGATTATTAACTAGATTCTTTTAGAATGTCTAAATATAGCAAAGAAAATTAGTTATTTACTGACTTATTTAACTTGACAAGTTGACCGAATTTTATGGGTATATTCACTGTAAACCCTCACGAGACTACAACTCATCCACTAGGGTAACCTAGGGGTTTAAAGGCTTGTTGTATGCACTAAATACAACCGTGATTCCTACAAAAATAAGTTAGAATTTTCCTTTTCTTTCTTTACTAGAGGACTATCAAAAGTTTAGATGTGGGGGTATTTGATAATCATATTTTATTACAGTTTTATACCCTCATTATCTATATTATATGAATAAATATACTATTAATAATTGTTTTTATCTTTAATTATGGGTTAATAAAGAATAAATCTCAAAACTCTCATCTCTCAACAAAAAGCCCTTGATTTAATGAAGAAATGAAGCTCATGAAGCCAAATGAATTATTTCAAATATTTAATGAAGAAATAAATCAAAGCACAGTGGAAAATCAAGAGAAAATACCAAAGTCCAAATGTTGAAGCCCAAAAAGCCAAGAAAAAGTATAAGGGCCCATGCCCAAGAACAAACACAAGAGGATCTTCGAACAACAACCACTAGTAGAAAAATGGGCATCCTTGACGGGCTTTCCCGTCAGGGATGCCAAATTTCCCGTCAGGGATAGGTATCCTTGACGGCTTCCCGTCAAGGATACGCCGTCAGAAAAAGTCCCGTCAGGGAAGAAACATCCCTGACGGGACGCCGTCAGTAATAAGAATGTTTATCCCTGACGGCAAGCCCGTCAGGGATGTTTTGCACATCCCCGACGGGAATGCCGTCAGGGATGTTATATAATCACCAAAAAAAATATTTTGATTTTATGCAAAATTTACTGTATACAATCCCTACACTACATTCGAAATATATGCAATCCAAATTTCACAACAATCTCCACAACCATCTCGCGTACATTCAAATTTCACAAATTTCGTGCACTTTCCATATCTAGTATCTCGCATACATCCATACACTACATTCAAAATTTTTACAATCAAAATTTCACAAACATTTAAAGAAACTTGCATAAATTCAAATTTCACATTTCATAACTAATATCTCACATATACATCTCATAAAAGATCTATATCCACATGTATAACTCAATAATCAACTTTAAAAACATACATATTTCATACATCAAGAATGCAGTTCAGCAAGGTCCAACTCCAGGTAGGACGAGTATAATCTTTCCTTCTGAGGCTGATTTTCGATAACAAAATAAGTTATCAGCCAATTCTAGGATGTGATATGTGTACCTAAGTTAGAGAGGAAATTACGTCTACCTCACTATAATCAACAAACATCTTGTTTGCCCGCAGATATTCCTCGATCATAGCCACCTACAGAATAAAAGACAGTTAATTAGATGACAAACAGGTCATTTCAGAAATTCTGAGTTCAAAGGGATTTGTTGACAGGATTACGACAAGAAGAACCTAGAAGAATTTAGACTGAAAGGGAAAACTTGTCAATTATTCTACCTAATGACAGATGTCTCACCACAAGATTCACAACCACTCAATTATCACCATGCAGCAGCCTGCTGATTTGCGTCAATGAAACTCTAAACATGCTCTAAATGTAAAAGTAAATTATGGGGGAACGCAACAATCTATTGGGTTCGAATGCAAAAAGGTGCTCAAACCATTTAAACATGCAAGTGACTCACTTTGGTGTAAAAGTAGCAACGAAAATAAGATGACAGGTTGTGAACAGTGTTGTATACCACGGAATTTGAGACTATACATGTGTCTGTTATGTGTATACAGGCTTTTGGCACAGAAAAATGGCTGCATGCTGCCACTTATGCCTCGGAGATAAATATACAGCAGCAAAGGATGAAAATAGTGCGACAGATGAAAATGGATGGACCAGCTTAAAATTTTAGAACTCAAATTCAAGCTAGTCAGTTCTGGAAGAACACATCAACAGAAAAGGCCCTGGAATGTTCTGGAAATATTAAGTTCCACATGCTTGTTATTTTCCTTTATCATATAATTTTTATTATTATAAACATTTCACATATATTATAATTTTTATTTTGCAGTCCGTGAAGAATTCTTGTAGTAAGTTAGTAACAGGTTAGGTTTGATTATGTCATATGCAAATATACATAAGTGGCCTAACTTTAAAAGGTTAGGTTTGGTTATTGTCATATGCAAATATAAATTAAGAGGCCTGGTACTAAATGGTTAGGTTTGATTATTGTCATATGCAATTATACATTTTCTCATCTTTTAATATACTTAAGAGGGACAAAAAATCATTGCATCTATCTGTCTGGAATAATATTTCATCGGACATAAATGTTAGAACAACGACCATTCTGTCAAGTTCAAAATTTTGCTGATATCCATCTCAAGCCATACCAAAGACCACTTCAGTTCTATTGCGAGCGTTCAATATTTTTACCTGTATACTTAAGCAACAATATTTTAACACATTACCATTTCCATCTAGTAAACATTTAAATACTCTCTTACTAGTTACAATTATCAATGAGTTTTTCCGTGGATGGATGGTCTTACAAATCATATTAAAAGTTAAAACTTCTGAAATTTGGCATGTCTAACTTTAAATTTGGCATGTCCAACTCTTCCCTGCACATTGATGCTTCCATTCTTGTGCCTAGCTAATATATGGATTTGAATAAGAGTTTATGCTATGGATACAATATATCGCAATAACAATGAAGGGTTGATGCTATGGATACAATTTATATCAATGAAGGGTTGATCCTGTGGATATAAAGCTAAAATCAGGCACCAAAGGTTCAAAGTTAAGCCTAGAAGAAATTTTAATACTTTGGGATGAAAATGAAGTACTATTGGAGTTCTTTGTGAATCCGAAAGGCCAAGGGTTACTCTTTTTTGGTCGATCCTAGCACGCTTCTCTTTTCGACGCAGATTCTTCTTCTCACCTTTTAAAATTGAAACAACACTTTCTGCGTCTAGAGTCTTTTCAACTTCATCCTCAGACTATGAAAAAGAATAAGAACATTACTAGATATGAATGTAATAAGAATGTGTTTTGGCAAAAGCAAATTGCTATTATCAGTTATAAGAATGTGTGCGCTAGTAAAATTAATAAGAAATTGGAAATTTCATTCTTTAAGTGTAATTTCTTTTTGGTTCATACTTCTTGGAAAGATGGTGACTTGATGGCAAGACATAAATCGTAACACAAGCAGGCCACTCCAGAGATATAACCTCCAGACACTTGATATAGAAGAAGCATTAAAATTTCCATGTAAATGAAGTTGCCTTTGTAGATGAAAATTGATAAATGTTGTTTTATAGCAAGAGAAAATAGATGTACATTAACTTTCATGAAAGAGGATGACAATTTACTTACAGACAACCAGCACATATAAGAATGTAGCAACGACAAAGCACAAGATCTACTGGAACCTGCAAGAAAAAAGAACAATGCAAAAGAAGTGAAGCAGCAACCAAAGCAGAAGTTTAACAACAAAAATAAAAGCAAAACTCAATATCAAGCAGCAATATACAATTCGAATAGTTGCAATAGGGATTTTCCGCTAGATATTTTCAGTACGTGATTGCGAAAAATCATTACAATAATAAGAAAATCAACCATTCCAGTGAAGCAAGAATACCAAGAGTACAAATTAAGCATACTGGAGTTAATTAAAACTTAGCCCCCTGAGGTATCTGTACCATGAATTTAAAGTAAATGAAACATTGTACCCAAGCAACTAGTAACAAGCCAACATGAAGGTTAGAGATATCATTACCAATGGATTGATCTTATTAGAATCACTTCCTAGCTTGTTTATAGCATTTTGCATACAGGCCAGATCGACAACAGATGGCACACCAGTAAAATCCTGCCAACAACAAAAATGTCAATAAGCAGAGTGCGAAGAAAATGAGGGTATCATCTGTATTCTGTGTGACAAACCTGCAGAAGAACACATGCAGGCTTAAATGGAATCTCAACTTGCTTTGGGGAGGTATTCTCCCAGTCAATAATCTTCTCGACATCATTCTTTGTGACCTGGAAGTTATCAAAGTTCCGGATGGCTGACTCAAGAAGAATCCTAATAGAATACGGTAGCTTGTCTGCACCAAAAAAAAAGGTAAAAACTTCTTTCAAATAAAAATTAAGACAAAAATTCTATGACAGGTTAATCGCCTATTCTATGACTGGATTAAGACAAAAATTCACTCTCCAATGGCTGTAAATAAAAATTAAAAGTTTAGAATATGGAGATAAAGGCTAGGAAACCATATCTGTGATCTGTGATATCAGGCCTGTGCAAGTGCATATGCAACATATCATAATCAATACTCAGAAAGAATGTAGAGAAGGGGGAAGATGGAACTACCTTTGAACATTTTTCACTGTAAAACCAATTTCAAATTACACATTTATACCTCAGAATTATAGATAAGCAATTTTCAATTACGAGTTGCTATCATTTAATAATCAAATTCTTTGGAAAAATAAAAGTATCTCTGTAACCAAATAAAAATAACTTCTCAGTTAATAAAACGAACGAAAAGCTTGTGATGAACAAGATCGGAGCTTGCCACACAAACATCATAGCACGGCTCTTTGGAGGCGAGGGACGAGGGCAGAGGATTTGTGAAGGGGGGAAATTTTTAACGAGGGAGGAATTTTCGCGGGGGGAAATTTTTAACGAGGGGGGGAATTTTTCGCGAGCGGAAATTTTGGAACAACATCGCTGACGGGCTACCCGTCAGTGATGTTCATATCCCGTCAGTGATGTTTACATCGCTGACGGTATCGATAAACTTGTGACGACAACATCTCTGACGGTTAATCCCGTCAGTGATATAAACATCGTATCGATAAACTTGTGACGACAACATCTCTGACGGTTAATCCCGTCAGTGATATAAACATCGCTGACGGCATTATCCCGTCAGTGATGTTGCCGTCAACAATACCTATTTTTCCACTAGTGAACCAGAAGCAAGTCCACATCGATGCCAGCATCGATACCCCTATCGATGCTGGCATCAATACCATCGGCCAGGCAGTTACAATCCAAAGGCTAAAATTTGTTGTTTTTGGATAAGATTTCAATCCAATGGCTCTCATTCACTGATGTTTACTATAAATAGGGGTAGAGAGTGAGGGGTTAGAGTTGTGAAAAATTTTGTAAGTCCATTTGGAGAGGAGGACTACTCTTAATTGAGAAGGTCTTCCAAAAATTATAACTTTTGTTACAATTAATAATAATAATTTTTCTCCACTTTAAAGTTGATCTTTTCTCCTCTTTGTTGAATGATGAGGATGGAGATGAAGAGCAATTTGAAGGTTTGTATTTTTTTATTTTTCTCTTTTTTTTGTTTTTAGTAATTTTTTTATTATTGCTTATTAGTTAGATTTACATTCATGCTTGTAGTGTAGATTTATTTTCTTATCTTTTTATTTCTTTTTGCACTTTAATTTATAGAGTAGATTTATTTTCTTGCATTTAATTTTTGTAATTTATTTTATAGTTTAGATTTTAATTCTTTATAGTTAGATTTATTTCTTGTTCATAGTTTAAATTTTTCTTTTCTTTTTATTTTTGTTAGATTTGTTTCTTGTTCATAGTTTAGATTTTTCTTTTCTTTTTATTTTTGTAATTAGTTCTTTTTCTTCTTGCTTTTATTTCTTAAGATGTAAAATTAATTCTTGTAGTAATCTTAGAATTGTATGAAATTCTAGTCAAATTTCCCTTATATTGTATGAATTATTCTCTTACACTTAAAATGATCATGTTTAGGATAATCAATTAGAGAACTAATTGGTAGAAGAAGAATTTGATAATCTATGCCTATCTTAAATGGTTTGATAGGTTATACTTATGAATTCTAGGATTACTATCTTATTGTTATTCTTATTATGATTTTTATTTTGACTTAGATGATAATTTGATAGGTTATACTTTCCTTAAATGGTTTGATAGTCTATGCTTAATAAATCTAAGTTAAAATATGATAAAAAGAGAATAGTTTGTATTTTGTAATTTATATTAGCTAGTGGATTAAATTCAAGATTTCTCATATCTTAATTGAATCCTCCTTCTTGACTTTCTTGAATTTTCTTTTCATTCTTGATTTTGTTTCTTGATTTTATTCATTCTTCTTTCTTGCCTTGTGATTTCATTTATTCTTTGATTATTCTTGATTTTGTTTCTTGATTTTATTCATTCTTCTTTCTTGCCTTGTGATTTCATTTATTCTTTGATTCTTTCTTCTCTCCTCTAAAATTCAATTTATTATCTCTTGCATATATTCACAACAATCACTCATTACAATCATACTTATTCTTTAATCCTATTTTTATCACGCACAAAACATAATAACCAATTCTAATAATCTCTTAAAATCACATTCCTCGTAGGATCAATTGTGCACTTGCAATTTTGGTACATAATTATGCTCGCATCTCACACATAATAGCGATAGTATATATACTTCAGTTCAACTCAACATTAGCTTCAAGCCATTTAGAGTGAGATCCTTACTATGCTAGATTGATTTACAAATTTTTAAATTTTAAGGGGTGTTTTTATAATTTTTAAAACTTACAAGATATTGTCTCCATAGTCAAAAAACTTTTAGTTTTTAGCTAGCATATATTTTCTAGAGTTCTCACAAAATTAAAATAAGTAAAATTTATAATTTTTAAGATGTTTTTATAAAATTTTAACTTTGTAAGGGTGTTTTTACAATTTAAAAAACTTGGAGTATATTTTTTACAAAGTCTAAAGCATATGTTTTTTAGATTTATTTGCGAACTAAAATAAATAAAGGCTTTAAATTATATTAAATGTATCTCTTTTATCTAATAACATGTTAAGTTTCATTATGAATAAGATAAATCATTTAATTACTCATTCAAAGAAGATAGAATAATTAGAATAGATTAGGATAACAATATAATATTTAAAAAAGCTAAGGGTGATATTAACCATGAAAAGATTTTCCCAAACTCGTACTTTTAAAGGGAGTATGATATTTTATTAAAATAATAAAAAATATTTCTAGTTGTTTCCAATGTTCTTCAAAATTATCTGAAAAGAGGATTATTACTCTGGGTAGTAATATGACAAATTCTCGGCATTTATGGAGATATTGTTCTAAGAACTTTAGATATTCTTGCTAGAAGTAAGTGTGCGCTGGCGACCTTTGTCTCCAAGTATAGAAAGAGAAAGGTAGGATGAGAATATTTTTCCATTGACTTTCTTCTAAAACTTGCATTTGCCAAAAACCTATTTTTATATAAAATTTTGAAAATATCTTTCCATGTATAATATTATCAATTTGATATTCTGGCACTTGATAATTTACCCAAACCAAATAATTTGATTTATTATAATCAATAATTTGACCTGAGACTCCATGTTCAAAATAATTGCCTAAGTCTAAACAGCATGTATCATGGTTAGTTTTTATTAGATTATTTTTTATAAGTTCTTCAATTTCTTCTTTACAAAAGGTCAGAAAAGTTTTATTCATTTAGACCGGTATGTTAAATATCTATTATCAAAAGAGATACGAGAGAATTCTTTTATGTAAGAAAGGTGAACATTCCTTTTATTATTAAGAATTTTTCTATTGAAAGGGTCATGATAATCTTTATTCTCATCTTTTATATTAGAGAGAACATTTATGAACTTTTCTTTATAATGTAAAGTAGAAAATAGTCGATTAACTAATACGTCTTCTGGTTCTTTATTAAACCAAAAAGAGACGTTAGGGTTACTAGCATTTGTGTGGATACCATTAGCATCGACAATAAAAGGCTTAAGATTATTGATAAAAGAGGTTCCTAAAATAGTACCTTGTTTGATATCTTTAAAATAAGACGAAGGAAATTTTAAATTTTTAGACCTCCATTGTAAATATAAGCATTGGTAAGTTTATATCTTGTTTTGAGAGCCTGACCATTAGCAGTGCTAACCAGATGAGATGTTTTTTTTATAAAATCTCAAGGAACAAGATCTTCTCTAATGCAATTTATGTCTGCTCTAGTATCAATTAGAGCGGTGTGTTGAACTACGTATTCATCCATAATATTAAGCATGACATTACATCTCCATTTTTTTCAACATATTTTTCTATAGAATTTATAAATTCATTACCATTAGAATCTTGTTCATGTTCGAAGGTTTTTATTTCTTTGAAATCTTCAAAATCGTCCATGGTTTTATTTTCAAAGTAAGTTTCTAGATTTTTTTTTTGTTTAAGATCAAGAAGTTCTATTTTTATATTTCCATGTTCTTTTTGAAGATATTCAATATTCACTTTACTTCTAATTTTCTTTTCATTTGAATTCTATTTAAGATTTCAGAGAAAGTATAGTAATCGTTATCCTTCTTTTTATCAATAGCTTTTACTAAATTTTTCCTTTGTTTTTGGTCATTTCAAGATACTTAGTTAATTGTGTTCTTTTTTTCTTATGGATCAATGATAGCATCTATAGTATCAGGAATAAATTATTCGTGTTCGCTTAAAGTGTTTAACTCAGAAGTTCCTGAAGAATTTTTAGAAGATTCAATACTATCGTTATTATAACAAGTGCAAAGATTGTTGCACTTATCTTCATGATCTGAAGAATCATCATCATTGAATTTTAAGGCATTAGTAAACTTATCAATTTCGTCTATAGTAAGGTCTTTTGGTTCTAATAAAAGTTCATTAACTTTAGTCTTTAGATCTTTTTAAAAACATTTATTAGCATAATGTCCCTTCTTATTGCATTTATAATGTGTAGGAGTTTTATTATTATTTTTTCTAAAATTTTTTGGAAACTTTCTTTTAGGTGATTTTCTTTCTTCATTTTTTGTGTTTCCCGATCTTTGCTTTTTTCTATAATTTTTTATTTTTGGGTTTTCCATTTGAAAACCAAATTGATAACAAAAGTCTTCTAATTTCCTTTTTCCTAAAAGGTTTTGGTTTTTTAATTGACTTTTAATTTTAACATCATTACAAAGCTGAAGCTAATGGTATTTACTCTTTGAATTAGTTCTCCAAAAGGAATTTGAGCATAAGGTATATGTCCATTACTTTGTTCTTTAATGGATTCTCTTACCCTTTCAGCAAATAAGGGTGAAAAACTCAAAATAAAATTTTCTTTCCAAATAAGATTATTGCATTCATGTAGTTGGTAAACTTTGGAAAGAAAGATGCCTTTGTACCATTTAAAATATATAAGGGGTTTACACCTAAAATTTATAAGTTGTTATCTAATTTTATCTTGAAGGCTATTAGCTAAACAAATGAAGTGATGATAAATCGAAAGGAGTAAAGTATACACAACATCACTAATATAATGTCCATTTGTATCAAGAATTGGTTCTCCTAGTTGGTTTCATTTATAATTATTTAGAATGTTGTTTCTGTCTGTTGGAGTAAGATAACAATCCCACCAACCTTGTAATTGACCCAAAAAAGAGGATCATATTCCACTTGCAATATCTTTTTCAGTATTACCTTGTTGTCTACAAGCATTAGCGTAGATAAGCATTTCTTGTAACAGATGTATGGTTTGGTATTCAATATATCCATCAAGATTTCACTCAATATAAGAGAATTTCCATCAAAGTTTATT